ACTGCTGCATCGACGTCGAAAGGCCTGCTGCCCGCCCCGTCCATCTCACCGACGTCGACCTGAAGGCTGCCAATGCCCTCGGTAAGCTCGCCGGGGCCACGGTCGAGGTTGCCCTGCTGCTCCTGGACCGTGATCAGCATGCACTGCTGAAGCGTGAGCTCCTGCCGAACGCGCAGGACGTCGACGAAGAATCGGTACATCAGGGGATCCGCGTAGTGATTCTCCAGCGCCAGCTCTGCAAAGGCTTGCCGCTGCAGGGAGGGGTGGACGGACCAGAAGGCCTCTCCGACGTGCAGTACGCGACAGCCCCCAGGGGGGTTCGGCAGCACGATCAGCCGACTCGCCGTGAACCACTCGAAGGCCACCGTGGCGTGCCGCCTGGCCTCGCCTGAGCCCTCGTCGCAGCACAGCACCGCGAGAGCCCGCACGACGGCAACCGAGGCGTCGAAGAGCTGCTCCAGGGCCTCGGACTCCTGCACTGGCCTGGGATTGGGGCACTCCTGGCCAGGGTTGGCACAGCGTACCTTGGCGGCGCGCAGAAGGGGGCAGGGGGAAGGGGGAAGGCTTCTTAGAAGGAGGCTACTTCTTAGAAGGCGCCGGCCTGCTATACACAGACAAGGCCCGCGCCTTCTGAGAATCAGGGGTGCTTCTAAGAAGCCTTCCCCCCTCCCCCTACTCCCCTCTGCGCGTGGCCGAGTACCGCTTGATGCAGCGCGTCGCAGAGCTCTACGGCGCTGCTGTCCGGTCGCTCCCTCACCCAGCGCTGCAGGGCATCGGCGGCCCCTGCTCCGAAGCGGCCGTAGAGGTCGGAGAGCGCTTCGGCGCGGCAGCAGCGCTGCAGAAGGGGGACGCGAAACGGTAGCCACGTGCAGTCCTCCGCGTGCAAGCAGCCCCGCCCAGGCACGAATACAAGCTCCTCCTCTCCCAGGCTCTGCAGCCCAATGTCCCCGAGCTTACGGTAGACGTCTGCGAACACGCTGATGTCCTGCGCCGAGATGCGCTTCAGCTGCCGGAGGCACTTGAGGAGCGACTCCCTGTTGACCTCCGTGGACACGCCCAGGCCCTCGAGCAGGCGAAGCACCCTCGGGTCGGCGGGCGCGCCGACGTACTCGAGAAGGTCCCCGGCGATCTCGTGGAAGGGCTCTCGAGCGAAGATGTCTTGCAGGGCCAGCAGCCGCTGCCTGCCTGGCATCTGCGGCGGGTGCCTGCTGCGCACCACCGGAAGCTGCCTCGCCCAGGCTCTGCGGAGCTGGGGAGCCCCGGGGCCGAGCAGCTCCTCCAGATACCCGAGCACCCTGGGCGACGCCACGGCGTTGGCCCAGTATTCACCCGAGGAGAGTAAGCCCCCGAGCTCCAGGGTGACCTCCACGGCCTCCTCGGCGAACCGCTCCGCTGGGTCCAGCGGCGCGCAGCCGACGCCACACAGGAAGACCTCCCAGCCCAGGTTCCAGTCCTGCCGCGCGCAGGACACCACGCCGAACCCGCCCGATTCTAGCGAAGGCGGCGGCCTCTTGACGCACTTCCTCTCCAGTGCCGCCCCGGGGAGCGCCCGCACCAGCGCCCTCTCGAGGCCGGCGAAGGCGCGCACGTGGCCGATGACCCCCTGCGGCAGCTGCGGGGCCACGCCCAGGAACGACCAGGGCCTCAGCCGCTCCGCGGGCAGCCAGCCGCCCGAGGCCGCGGGGAGCAGCAGCGCGTCGCGCAGCTCGCCCCAGGGCGCGCCCGGCTCGCGGCCCGCGACGAAGCACCTCCGAAGCACCGACAGCGCCGCCCAGTCTCCTCGGCGGGCGGGGCGGCGACCCGCCCGCGGCGCACGCCGCTGGCGGGCCCGGGGACGAGCAACAGCTAGGGGGCCACATGCGAACCCTACCCCTACCCCCAACGATTTCTGGGGGGGGAGGGGACGGGGTTCACTTCGTTCGGGAGCTCCCGAGCGAAGTGAACCCCACCCTCCACCTCAGAAATCGTGGGGGGCAGGGGTAGGGCTCGCATGTGGCCCCCTAACAGCGGCAGCAGGCGGAGCAGCGGCAGCGGCGCCGGGAGAGGCGAGCGCGCACGCGCGGGAGCGAGCCGGTGGGGGCCGGCAGCGCTCATAGGGGCGAGCGCGGGGAGCGCGAGGGCTTGGGCCCCCGGGTCTGACCAAGGTCGGCGCGCTGCTCAGGCATCCCAGAGATGGCGAAGCCCGGCCAACGTTCCTGCCGTGGCCCGTGGGCATCCGGAGACGGCCCCGATCACGAGCGGCTGCCGTGCACTCCTGGTGCTCCAGGCTGGGCCCCTGGAGGAGGAGGGAGTTTGCAGGCCGAGCGCTGTCGAGGCAACGCTTCGTCGACAGTCACCAGGCCAGGTCGCGGCCCAGTGCGCCTCGACGAGGGAGGGAGCGCGCGCACCGACGAGGGCGGGAGGAGGTGAGCGGCGCTGGGGGCGCTCCTGCGTCCGGCTCCCCGTGGCCCGCTTCGACGGACAGCAGCCTCTGGACTGCCAGCACCTCGAGCGCGCTCTCCTATGGGGGGGTAGGGCATCTGGCAGCGTTGACCGAGCCTTCTCTGCGCCGCCTGGCCTGAGCTGGTCTTCCACGTTCAATGGAAAAATCATCCAATCAAAGAATTCGCCAGACAACCCCTCGGACATCCTGGGCAACCCAGGCGTATTACTGACGACAAGGCGGCCTTACCGGACAACTCCTTGGACAACCCAACGGGGATCTGGACAACCCCACCAGACAAACCCCCTTGGACAAGCCTCCCTGGGATTTCGTCCATAAGATATAGTACCCGAAGACCAGCAGCAGGTGGAGCGGATGGCGGGGACGGAGGAGAAGGAGCAGGGGCAAGGAGAAGAGCAGGAGCAGGAGGGACAGAGGGCAGGGGCAGGGGCAGGAGGGAGAGCAGGAGGAGAAAGAAGAGGGGGAGAAGGAGGAGGAGGAGGAGGAGGAGGAGGAGGAGGAGAAGGAGAAGGATCAACAATAGCAGAGACAAGACAAAGAGCAGCACGAGTGGGAGCAGGAGCAGGAGCAGTGTGAGAAGAAGCTGGCTGGCCCGAGCCTAGCACGAGTCTGGGCCAAAAAAAAAAAAAACTAATCTGCATTGCCAGGCCAGGCCCGCCTTACTCCCTCATCGCTATTCCTCATAATCATCCTCACAATCACCACCACAACCACCACCGCCACCACCACCACCACCATCATCAGCAGCAGCATCATCAGCAGCAGCATCAGCATCAGCAGAATCATGATCATCATCATCATCACCACCATCAGCATCATCACCATGATCGTCGTCATCATCATCAGCACCACCATCATCAGCAGCAGCAGCATCATCGTCAGCGTCATCATTATCATCATCAGCATCGTCATCATCAGCAGCAGCATCAGCAGCAGCATCATCGTCATCGTCATCGACACCACCACCACCATCATCAACATCGACAACAACCTCATCATCATCATCATCATCATCATCATCATCATCATCATCATCATCATCATCATCATCATCATCATCATCATCATCATCATCATCATCCGCAACAGCAGCAGCATCAGCATCATCATATGCAGCAGCAGCAGAATCAGCATCATCATCATAATCATCGTCATCGTCATCGTCATCGTCATTATCATCACAACAACGTCGTCATCATCATCAGCAGCAGCATAATCGTCATCACGATCATCACGATCATCACTATCACCATCACCATCACCATCACCATACCCATCACCATCGTCATTATCCACATCCACATGCTCTTTCTTCCTCGTCGCCTTTCTCCTCCCCCTCCTCCCCAAAGCGCCCAGGCGGGGACATTCCCTCAGGGCACAAGAATTTGTTGAGTCGCGCTGTCCGCTGGAGGCGGGATCGAGACCGACCGACACCTCGCGGTGCGCGCCGCCGCCACGCCGACGCCGACCCTTGAATACGCCGCTCCCCAGCGAGGCTAAGCGAGCGCGTCGGCCGGTCATGGGCGCAGGATCCTTGTGGAGAGATAGCTGGCGCCCCACAGCACAAGTAGCATGGTGGGTGGGCAAACCTGAGACGGGCAGATGAATGGCCTCTGGAGCTCCAGAGACCCTTCGCAAACGGCCCTCCGATTGACGGTGATGCATCCTCCCAGCCAGGCAAGGCAACGCAGCACAAACAAAGGCAGGGCAGAGCGGGGTGGTGCGGGGCGGAACGGACGTACGCATTGTGGCTTGCCAGCCTTCCACGCAAGCGCGCAAGGCGTCACTGCAACGTCTATCTCAGCCCTAAGCTAAAACCTGATGCCTACGCAGACGGCAATGCCAGCAACTGGGCTGCTACCCACACGAGCACCGCCTCTCGCTCGTCGGCACCGTGCAGCCTCCGCGGCGTGCGAGCGTAGTCGCATCATATCCGCTCGTAGTATGGCTCGTGGTCCACCTTGCTGCTCCCCCAGGTGGTGTAGCTGTGGCCGCGGTCGGATGGCCGCCGCCCAGGGACCACGGGGGGGGACCGGAGACAGCCGAGCAGACCCCTCGTAGTCGTCGCCGCCCAGGAGACTGGGCTGACCAGGAGTCAGCCGATCCTGGCCTGTCCAGTCGTCAAGAGGAGGCAACGCCACACCTGGACCAAAAAGCAAACGACACCACCCCGCCTGCAGGCCCCACGAGGCTCAGCGTATACCAGGAATTCTGTCGTGGGCTTTGCGTGGCATACGCTGTGGCCCCCGATGAGCCATAACACAACATATAAAAAACATAAATGGGGTGATGTCGTCTGTTTGTTGGTCGAACCCCCGAGTTCCGCCGCCAAGCCTGGCGGAGAGGGGACTGGTGGGACCACAGGCTTCCCGCTCCTCCTCCTCCTCCCCCTCCTGCTCCTCCTCCTTCTCCTCCTCCCCCTCCTCATTCTCCTCCTCCTCCTCCTCCTTCTCCTCCTCCTCATCATGCTCCTCCTCCTCCTCCTCCTCCTCCTCCTCCTCCTCCTCCTCCTCCTCCTCCTCGTCTTCCGACTGAAGGGTAATCTGAGCCGGGGGGGGGGTCGCCGGGACTGCACGCAGACACCGATCCTGGGCCCTGGATGGGCCCCGCCAGGACTGGTGCTGGTGTACCGTTAGCAGAGCGGCACCCCTCGAGCAGTGCTTCCAAGGAAGACCCGCCCGGACGAGCCAAAACCGCAACCCCGGTGCCTGCCCTTCGGCGGCGAGCGGGGGGGGGGAAGTGAGAAGGAGAAGGCCTTCCTCAGAAAGGGGCGGGACTTCGCGGAAGCCCTCGCGCCTTTGGAGAAGTGTTTGCTCGTCTTCGGGGAAGGCTCAGAAAACGTCTCAGAAGGCCAGGGGACTTCCGAACCTTCTGAGAAGGTCTTCTCCTTCTCACTCCCCCCCCTCGCCCGCCGCCGATAGGAGGAGGAGGAGGAGGAGGAGGAGGAGGCGGAGGAGGAGGAGGAGGGAGGAGGAGGATGGAGGAGGAGGCGGAGGAGGAGGAGGAGGAGGAGGATGGAGGAGGGAGGGAGGGAGGGAGGAGGAGGAGAGGGGGGAGGCCGGGGGACTTCCGAACCTTCTGAGAAGGTCTTCTCCTTCTCACTTCCCCCCCCTCGCCCGCCGCCGAGCCGTCGCTCGGGCGTCCGCTCCCCGTGCCACGCTGCGGTCTCGTGCGCACGTTTGCTCGCAGGATGTCCCAGCATGCTCGCCGATGGGCCTCCTCCTCCTCCTCCTCCTCCTCCTCCTCCTCCTCCTCCTCCTCCTCCTCCTCCCCCTCCTCCTCCTCCTCCTCCTCCTCCTCCCCCTCCTCCCTTCTCCCATTCTTGCCTCGCCCTTGATCCGCGGGTCGAGAGCGCACCTCTTCCGGTCGGAGCTAAGCGGGCCGCGCGAAGCTTCTGCTCGCCGGTGGGCCTCGCCGATGGAGAAAAGCGCACGCGTCCGAGCGATGCCGAGAAGCCGCCACCGTGGGACATCCCCAGCGGGGCCAGAGAGGAACCGTGGGCGGCGGTGCCGCTTTCTCGGTCCGACGCGCTCTGCTCCCCGAGGGCGGGTGTGCTCGCCTGGCTCCCGCTCGAGCCTCCGACGCCCCGAGGTCTTTCTCGAGGCGTGCGCCCTGGAGCTCTCGACCCCATCCCGTGGACCGTTGCTCTTCTCCGCGGATTCTCGTTCGCGGGCCCGAAAGCCCCAGGGCGTCGAGATTGGGCAAAAACGTTTTTGTCCGAAAACCACACCTGGTGGCCTGCTGGATGGGGTCCGAGTAGATAGGGTCGGAGGATCGCGCCGCATCGCCAATGCATCGGCGACGTCGGTGTGGCAAAAATCGGACTCCACATCGGGCTGCACCGGCGATGCGGCGCGATCTTCCGACGCCATCACCTCCGAACTCATCTGGAGGCCTAGCACAGCACAATGCGGCAGAGCAAGAGCAAGAAATCCCATGCCGCAGGGAAACGCGAGACCCGAGAGGCGGGAGGGAGAGGGAAGGTGCAACCCGAAACTCGAAAAACAAGCCCTGCAGTGTGTTGTTAATCGCCCCTGCGCTGGAGGCTGGGGTGGTCCCCACAAGCCCCTAACAGGAAGCCAGAAACGCATACGGCCAGATCCGCGCGGAGCGTGAGGAGGCCGCGCAGCGAGTACAGATGCGGAGGGCACACACAGACCCTGCCGCATGAAGGCAGGGGCTGGACGCTGACACTGGAAAGATAGAAGTACGGACACACATGTGTCCTGTTCTTGTGTGGACTCCACCACCTGGCGAGTCTTTGTTACGCTCACATTGTGCGTACCCGCCAGTTCTAAGCTCGAGCGTTTCGACTCGAGGCACCCTTGCTCCCACCCGTCCAAAAATGCTTGACTTTCGCTGTTGGTGTGCGGCTTTTCTGTCCAGACTCAATGTAGTCGTACGTTCCTCTCTCGAGCATTTTGCTGGTCGCCTACCATGTTCGGGTGCTGTCCTCGGGCTGCACTGAATTGCTTCAATTGTTGCTGTGTTGGTGCGAATTTCCTGGCAAAACCCTCAGATCGTGGCCCCTAGGTTCGAATGCGACTCACTTCCTTGGACCTCTTCCACATCTCCCTGCTGTACACGCCCGTGCTCTAGCAGCGCAACCCCAACCCCAGACCCCGGCGTCACGAAAAAAATCGTAACGGTTGACTATTGGGAAACGAGAAGGTACCGATGCCGCTGCTCCAAAGACCTCTCCTGGTGTGCGTTCTGACCACAACTTCGAAGCGAACCTGGCGGAGGTGACGAGGGCTCTCCAAGACGAGCAGCGGCATCGGCATCTGTTCTTCCTCTAAAATTTGGCCCTTTCGAGGCCCCTCTCGGGCCTCAGGGCCATCCCCACAGAGAGATACCCGGATAGGGTCTGGGGGCCCACGTCCCGAAAGAATCGTGGCCTCGGATGCCTGCGACGATCCACAGGTTCCGATCCTGGCTGGGACCTGGGCCCAAGACGGGTGACGAGTGTGAACAGCTGGCGTACCTCGAATCGTGAATCCAGCCATCACAAACTTTTTCGTCGGCGGCGAGGCGGGGTTCGCTGCACCAGCGCAGAG